TGACGCCACAGCATTATGACTTTACCTTTCAAGATCCGTCTGGGACGGCATCTGGGTCTGATAACATGTATGTCAAGCTATCTTGATGTATCTCGACCAATGCTGAAGTTGTTGCAGGTACAATCTGGACCCGCCCCTGGATCCAGCACTGTGGAATTTCCAGCCTGACCTGCCACCGGACATTCAGCCAACTAGTCTTCCCGACCCAGTTCCCGATCAATCAGATTCAGGGCAGTGCACGTGTCTTACAACGACATGGCTAACTCTCACCGAGTTGCAAGCTGTTGTTACCTTTCACTTTCCCCAAGTTATCATACCCTTACGAAAAGCAATGTCAGCGCTCTCGGATCTAATACATTGCAAGCAATGTCCAAAAGAATCATATTCCGCGATCCAGAATGTACAGTCGATAGTTTCTGTGATGAAGGCAGTAGTAGAGCGCTTCAACAAGGTGTTGAATGAGGTCGATCGCGAAGCCGCGCGCATGGAAGAGACTGGACAGAAGAAACCATTTCGTATCGGCGACAACAGCCAGGCTTTGCAACATCTGCATACCGGTACCCTCGACTGCCCGATGGGGTTCAACATTGAGATTGAGGCGAAGGATTGGAGGAGGCTAGTCAAGACTGCACTCAAGACGGAGATCTATGGCGGAGGGAGCAACCCACGACCACTGTTGGACTTGGTGAAGGAGAGCGAAGCGAGGCAAGAGACTTGGCATAATGGCAACCATTCCTGGAGCGATGAGATGAGGCAGTTACATGCCGGGAGACCTGAATGCGATAGTTCGGCGGGCTGCGAGGCGTTAGGAGCGCAACACATACGGAGAGTCATCAATAACCTGAACTGGGATTGATGAGCTACGAATAAACCTCGGGCTTGGTTGGGAGTAAAGTCACTATCTCGCCTCCCTTCCCGGCCTCAATCTCATACTATGTTACAGGAATAAAGTACAGAGATGCTCCGAATCTGGTCGCTATATAAAGAATGCAGTAGCCACAGGAAATCGATACATGATATAGGACAGACGTGTAGGAAATAGAGAGGATGTAGCCACAGTATGTGGGATCTAAATGGCAGTATGTCGCGGAAAAGAAGCAGATAAATGGCAATGAACATGAGGAGTGGCGTGGCGTGGCTGGCTCATTCGATCAGCGGGAATTCGAGGTTCGGATCAACGTAATTTCGGCCGTACTTCCTACCGAAGGAGGTGTCTTTGCTATCCTGTAGCATCTTCCAGGCCGCAATCAGCTCGTCAGCTTTCTCATTTTGATCTTGACCAGGCCCAGACTCAAGAGCCATGCGAATATGCTTCACGTCGTACAAAATCCACCATACTTTGTAGTGAAGATCGGCGTGCTGGGCGCTTATGCCTAAAGGCAGGCAGCTGAGTCGTACGACAAAGTCGAAGCTCAATCTAGTAGCTTGTAGCCACGGAAGAATAGCTTTCTGGCTACAGAACCAACCATCGGCGCCGACTGAGATTATAGTAGGCTTAATCCCAGCTTGATTGGCCGCTTCAATGTCGTGGACGATAGCTTGTGTGAACCTAAAGGCCCTGTGGAGCAAGACCTTTTGCCTGGGTGTCTCTCCGAGAAAGCTGTTGTCGAACGCAGGCGCTGGAATGTATCGCGTAACAGCCTCGTAGCAACTGTGCAGTACTGCAGATCCACCAGAATAGCTACTCCTCCACGAGGCATAGTGTGCAAGGTACTTTCTTCCAAGCTGCGGAAGCCCTTCTTTGATTGAGGTTGTGCCGTCTTTCCAGCACTGCGGCGGAGCCTTGGAAGATCGGTTGATGATGATGACACTTGGAGGGGCGCCATTGGCAGCGTCAGCGGTTAACGAGAAGCGGTATGAGGTTTCGCGATTAGATAGTGGGCCTTTTTTGCATCGTTCCTCGTGCATAGCTAGGTCGTAGAGGTCGGCATGAAATATACCGCATTCATCGTTTTTACATTGGTACGGGCTGCGAGTATCTTTTGCGTGGCGACGCGAGTGGTTTGCTAAGCCTGTAGATGTGTCGAACTCCTTGTCGCATCCGATGTGCGTTTTCCAGGGGCAAGGAAAACTCTTCCCTGGGGTTGCAGTGCATTCTGGCAACTACAGAGGTGAAGATATGAAGTCAGTATATGTCTCACATGCATTTCTCACAGCCACAACTTACCTTCGCATGTTGCACTGCTTTCTGGTGAGTGACAAACATTTCGCCACAACCCTTGTGACATGGTATCTTCCGTGTGCCATCCGCGGTGGGGTCGACCTCGTAGGGCGTTACTAGCCCAATATCTGGATGCGCTAATCTGACATGTTGTGAGACCCCCCTAAGGGTTGGGAAGTACCCTGGCGAGTGGCTACACTGCTTGCTTGCCTTGTAAGGGCAGACCCACGTGCACCGTTCTTTGAATGGCTGTACCGCCGCCCCCTTGGTGCTGACTTCATGCTCATATTCATCCTTCTCTTCCTCTTCCTCTTCGGACTTGACTGTAGCCACGCCAGATGTCTCGGTATCGCTCAGGGGGCTCGTAGCCACGGGAAATGCTCGGGTTGGTGCATGCGCCGTCTGCACGAAGCTGGACGCTACTACCGGTTTTGGGTCGTCATTGGTGTCGTGCGAGGCCTCATTGCGCGGACGCTTCGGAAAGAAGGACGCGATACTTCTTTGCTTCGGATCGTCGGTGCTCTTCCGCTTCCCCCCCATGCTGAGTCGTATTAGGATGATTGTCGTGGGTGGTCGAGGCCTGCGGCGCAGCGAGGCTTGAGGGTCACTGGCATGGAATTTTCGAGCGCGCGATGAGCGCGACAACGCGACTGGACGCGCCAGACCTCCCCACAGCAGCCCTCACCGCTTTCGTCCCAGGGTCTGCACCAGCTGGGCATCTCCTCGAAAAGTCATGCGCACGCACAGTGCGCCTTTCAATATCAAGCGCTCATCCTCTAAGTCTGCTCTTGTCGTGCCATGATCGTCATCGGACGGACGCCGCTTCATACTACGAGCATCAACGGATAAGCGCTGTTACGTAGCTACGTCTGTTCAATAGCACTCAGAGCGTACGTTGCATCCTAATTCCAGGCGCCTGTGATGTGGAAATGTTCCGATCATCGAGACGTGTTCGGATGCCTGCAGTATACAAAGCTTGAGGAACCTCTAAAAGTATGCTTACCAGTATGAGAAAGAGAAGGAGAAAGAGTCGAAGCATAAATGGCAACCAGAAATAGAACAATTAAAAGCAGCACATTGCAGCTGCTACAACAAATAAGAGGCATAAGATGTTGCAGCTGGATTGAAGAAAAATAGATCAGGATTGAGATTGAAAGAAGGCACATCATGCTCGGAATGAAGGTAATCCACGCAGTAAGATATCGCTTTGCAGTCTCTAAGCTCTTTCTGTAACTCTGGATCAAATAATAAACTCTTAGAACAAACCCAAGTCTAGCGTTAAAACTGTTCAGAACATAGAACTGTATACGTGGAAATTCTCGAAATTAGCTCTTGTGTGATTGGAATGAGACAAAGGGTTTAAATTTGGAGAATGCGGCAACGTCTACGGGTAGTCTCAACCTAGTCTAGATGAATAAGCAGGGCGCAGAAGCCGCACTTTGATCATTGCCCCGCTCGAACAACCTTAGTCCACAATGCGTTAAGGGTGCCGATTAGAAGCCTATAATTATATCGATGAATATTCTGTTTTTATGAATTTGCATATAGAATCTACTCGCTTAGTTTGCAGTCTAGAGTGGGGTATCTCAACCTTGCGAACAAAGGCTTCGCCTGTGCGTCGCCTATTCTTAGTGCAGCTCCACCATGATGATTGCCACGTATATTTTTGCACAGAATGTTCCGTCCTCCATGAAGTTATTAAATGGCAAGATGGCCGAGGTACGTTACTTCCACTCCTTGGGAATCGCAGTACTAACATCAATTTAGTGGTCTAAGGCGCTGCGTTTAGGTCGTTCTAAACATCCTCCGCAGTCTTCACGGGCGTGGGTTCGAATCCCACTCTTGTCAGCACTTCTAACTGCCCAATCTTTTTGCCCACATCCATGATGTGGGCTTCTTTGTTTTTGCTGATGGTAGAAGCTGAAGATGGTAGCTAACTCGTGGCTTGCGCTGGCGAGTCTACACAGCAGATGCGCAACGCAGATACGGATCTCATCAATCGCACAGAATGCTTTGAAAGTGGTAGAGTGCGAGATCTTCTTTCCTCTTTTGCTCTGAGCCTGCGAACGAATCTCAGCTCCCAGCGATCTATAATCACTCGCTTACGCCAAATCTTCCCATTCCTCATCACACCCTCAAGGTTTGCTCACCTGGACTATCTCCTACAGTACTACAACCGCCTTCCGAGCGCACGCCTTCTCTCCAGCAGACCGCGACATCCCGCATAAGGACTCTACACAACCACAAAGATCGGCTGTCAAGCAAAAGCAGCGTCGACTTTACCCATCAGGTACCATGCCTACTCAACCCGACGACCTGCTTCTGTCGGTATGTTGTCGCACTCTTTCCATCGTGTCAGAACTTCCAATGTTGTCGGCAATGGAGCGTGGATGCACCATTAACTCAGGCTAGCTCCAATCCTCCCTCCGCAATGCGCTCGCGACATTCGGCCCAAACAGCACTCAATATCGTAATATCAAGTTGATGGTGGATGAGTATATGGCTAAGGTCGCTATGGAGGGGCTTTCCATTTCTTCGAGCGAGCCACGTCAGAACGATGAGAAGATGCAGATGGGTTAGAGCGACGTCGTTATCAGTATCCACTTCTTTCAATGCGCATTCGTGATACCCCCAGCTACCTTCGAGACCAAGATTGAACACCGGTGTCGTATTGCAGCTATCTAGGTACTGGTCCTTCTACGGGTGGTCCCTTCCATCGGGCTTGTGCCAAGCCCGCGACGGCGTGATCATCAGGAACTCCCGTTCGAAGCAATCCCTTCAATCTCCTTACACGTCCTCGCGATCACATTCCCGACCGATTCGATTATAGGGGCGACGGCTACCGACCACCATTCCAGCCCGCATTAGGCGCGAAAAGGTCTTCCATGCTGTCACCATCACTTTTCCCAGTCTTCGAGCCTTGAACGCTGTATGACTTGGTGACGGCAATACGATGATCCGGCCTATCATCAGCATGCTTAATCGCATCTGTATCTGCGTCTGCACTTTGTAGTTCATAACTCTTCTCCCCGCTCCGTTTCACGAAGATCTTCAACTTGCGAATCCTGGATCCATCTCCGCTTCCGCTTCCACTCGAAAGGGCCAGTATCCAGGGCATGTACTTCTGTATGAAAGGCTTCAGTAGCGCAACGCATGCGCAAATGACTCCGCCGTTGAGCTCGACCGTAGAGAAGATGCATGCCTTGGCCACGTTGTAAGTTGCGTCGGGATCGCTAATCATACTGTAAACGTAGATGATGCGAACGGTTGATATGACGACGACACTACAAAGCTTGTTAGCACAGAACGCCAGATGGCGCACTACCCGAGGCAACTTACCCAGATCCCAGAGCGAACACGAAGCCCAGTAATATCTTTTGTTTAACAGGTAGTTGCAGGGCGCGCAACATCGGTATCGGCAGGCACAGGATCAAGAAGTCTGTGATTATGTTTATACAGGCCATGAACAGGTTGAGGTCTGTAAGGCACTTCTGGTCCGTATGGGTTCGCGGATTGCAGGGTCCGGCGGCGACTATGGTGATGGCCACGGAGTATCCAGTGACCAGGACTGCCAATGCGTAGATGGCTGCTTGGACTTTCTGATCTGGATTGAGTCGGTAGTACAGAGCTAATAACGAGAGTTTAGCTAGAGCTGGAGTCCAGACATACACCACCATGATACCGACGAGCATCTTCGTATAGCCCAACATTTGCTGCATAGTCACATTCCACATATGTTGACCGAAGCCATACTGGAACGCTACATTCAAGGTCAGTTGCGTACTCAGAGTAAGCAGAGGGGCAGACTCACTTCGGAAACAGATGACCATCCATGCGACGCAGCCGCACCAGCTGAGTACCACCAGCGCATCGTCCAAGCCGGTCATACGGCGGATGAATATGCGCGTATACAATCGCAATCCGAGCACGAAGGTGGAAAGTATCGTCATGACTGCATATACCACGACGATTCTCTTCTGAAGATCCGACCGTTCACCACTGAAGTCTGCCTCAACGCCAGGTGGCGCATCCAGAACGCCCGACATGGTCGTAATTGCGGTCATCACAGCCGGAGAATTTCTTGGATTCACAGAAGGAGTCGGAACTTTGAAGGGAAGGCGTGATCGCTAGCACCTTGGGTTTTCTCCCGGACATGCATCGAACTTATCTTACACGCAGCCTGAGTTACCTTGCCAGGTGCCAGCGATCTTAAGACGGGGGTACACGCAAGATCCTTTCCGTACAACCTTGCCGTTCAACAGTGAAACCGTAAGATGCTGGCGCATTCTCGGCAACGCTCATGGATATGCGCATCTCCCGAAATTGCACGGTTGGAGGCTCGAATCGAATACCAGATAAGATATTCATGAAATCACGGAATGAGGAACCATGTCCTGTTCTCCCATTCAGCCTATGCGCTCTAAGCGAATGTAGCCCTGCCGCCACCTCGCCTAGCAGACACTTATGTACATGCTTACATTTTTCCAGGCCGTCTTTGAACAGGATAAGCGCCACTCAGCAGCACCAAGTCTGATCTACGCATCAAAGTCACACACGTCGCGTTACGGCGCAACCGCATCCAATAATGCGGCGCTCGGAGAATTGAGGCTACACCACATGCTTCCTTTCGCAGACGACTAAACGGCTTTGGTCCGCTAGAGAACTCCACGATATCGACACGTTGGAAGACTAACTAGACGTGAGTTCGCACCGAGACGCTAGTCGGCTATGTACGATAGTGTGCAACAAAACCTAGTAATCCAATGCTGACCCTTGCACACTAATTACTATGCGGCAAGATTCCTGTTGCGGAGCACCAGCTGCAGTCGCAATCTACGGTAAGAAGGATGAACAGAGACCTGGCCATGTCCCACTTCATAACCCGGGGCTGCCGATCGCGTTCTCGTACCAGTCTCCACGTGTGACTCTGGGCTTCCGAGCAAACGCGTCGCACATGCAAACCTTCCACGTTTTGTACTCCCGATAAAAACAACACACACTGAAATCACAAAGGCGCGATACTGACTCCCAGGGCTCACTTATTCAAGGGGTTGTGGTATGTGGCGGTCGCCTTCACTTGACAGCAACCGAGAAATAGCCCTCGGCCACCGCGCCCTAGCACTCTATACACTGAACTTTAGCAACCCCAAACAAGATCCCGGTGCCATCCACAAGAAACCATGGGCTCGGTTCCTACCGCTGTTTTTGTGCTCGCACCTTTATCGGCGGTCATCCTGCACGAGTTCATTTTGCGACGAGTGGAAGTCGACCATTTGACCCTTCAGATCCTTGGCCTAGCGATTACCGCATACTGGGTTCTATCATATTACACTGGATTCATCGCCGCGACACTGGTGACGAGTTCCTTCTGGGTTCCACTATGGCTGTACATCGGAGCGTACCGTGCCTTCTTTCATCCACTCAACGACTACCCTGGACCTTGGGCTGCGAAACTATCGAGATGGTGGGCCGTCAAGCAGACATATGACAGCAGCTTGCATTACCATCGAGTCCTTCAGCGGCTGCAAGGCCAATACGGCGATTATGTTAGGACGGGTCTGTCCAACCCGTGTACTTCCTTCCACATCCAGTGCTAACACCGTCAGGGCCACGTGAGCTCACGATTTTCGATACAGCTGCGATCCAACCAATCCTCGGAGCTCAGTCACAGACGTCAAAAGGACCGTTCTTTGACGTCATGGAAAAGTCGTTGCACCTCAATCGCGACAAGGCGTTCCACCGCCAGCGCCGCAGGATCTGGGACAATGCGATGAAGGCATCGCTTTCCGACTACGCCCCCCAAGTCGAGAACTTCACAGACCAGCTACTCACAAGATTGCGCAATGAAGAGGGGAGGTCGATTCCGCTGCTTGTCTATGCAAGCTACTATAGCTACGACGTCATGGCAGCGCTGGCCTTTGGCAAGCCCATGGGCTTCATCAAAGGCGAACAAAGCGACGTCGCTGCGAGTATTCTCGCTACTATGATGGGCAGCGTCCAGGCTTTGGGATACATGTATCTGATGCCGTGGCTAATGAACACAGTTGGTGTTCTTACCTCATTCGCCGGACCCATGAAGGAATGGCGAGACTGGAGCGTCAGCCAGATGAAAGCGCGCATGCAGGTACATCTTCCCGTCTTTAAGCTCGACCGAAGCCATTGCTAACAACCTCCTTTAGGTCCGAGATGCGAAGCCGGACCTAATCTCTCATCTCATCACCTCCACGCCCAAAACACCTGAGGGTCGCGAACTTCTCTACGGCGAATCACGCCTCATAATCTCCGCTGGCAGCGAGACCACGTCCACGGCCCTAACCTTCCTCTTCATGCATCTCGCCACACACCCACACTACATGGCCGCCGTCCGCGCCGAGTTCCTCTCCAACATCAACACCTACGACTGCCAGCGACCCATGCCAATGCTAGAAGCTTGTATCCAAGAATCGATGCGCATGTGGCCCTCCGTCTTCTTCGGCTCCCAACGCATCACGCCGCCACAAGGTATGGAGATAAACGGGCACTTCATCCCAGGAAACATGATAGTACATATCCCCATCTTTCCGCTGTTGCGGGACGCGAGAAACTTTGTTGCACCTGATCAATTCATACCTGAGCGCTGGACTACGAAACCGGAATTGGTACTGAACAGGCAGGCGTTCATTCCTTTCTCAACAGGTTCGCATAGCTGTGCTGGGAAGGCTCTGTCGTTGATGGAGTTGAGGAGTGTGATTGGGAGGGTCGTGGCGGAGTTTGATGTCGTGCTTGATGAGGGGACGGATGTGAATGCTTACTGGGAGGGTATTCTGGATCACTTCACTGCGGGTGCGCCGCCGATGATGGTCAGGTTTATGAAGGCGCAGTAAGCGCGTGCGGGATCTGGTATAGAGGGCGTTTACGGCTCATTTGTCTTTCACTTTAAAAAGAATACTATTTAGCTGCAGCGTGGGAAACCACCGAGAAGTCTATTTTGCTGTTAGTCCTCCCAGAACTCCTATTTTGTACTACCTTGATCTTGGCTGCGACTGCACACTTACTGCAGCTACCCTGTTTTTAACCTGTCAATCTAAAAGTACAGATCCGCCTAGAGGTTTCCTAGACGCGATTGTCTACTGTTCTAACTGAGTGCGCTGTTAGAGCCACAGAAAGTGCATCGACCACAACAGCTCCACAACCCTTCCTCCCCAGGGAGATTTATGTGTGTCCCTTCAAGGCCTCAGGACGCTGCGGTGAGAAAGCACCCTTTTTTGACTCGTACCGGGGACTCTGTCAGCATGTCGCCAATGCCCAAGCGCATGATGGTGTGGTGACAACATATGCTGAGTCGACAATCTAAGACGGCACCGCGAAAATCCCATGCCCGGGTGGATGCAGGCATCTCTCGGTGACTCACCAAAAGGCTAAGCACCATGCCAGAAACGCCGAGTGTACCGCCACTAAGCCCACAAACATACAATGCCCGTGGAAGAACTACAACGGATGCCTAAAGACCAGTAATGCACACTAAATAGGCAATTATTAACGTAACTACTAGAAAGATACCTAGGGACTCTACTAATGTTGTAAAGCTAGATGTAGCAGGTTTTTAGCATGCCTTTACTAAGTAGTAGCTTTGCAAATTTATTATAAGAGCTTGTAATCGCTCTCTCAGTCCTCGTGGCGCATCGTAGATACGTTTTGCAAAACCGGGCGCAGTCTTGCAAAAGCGAACCAAACCAGCAGGGCCACCACCGTCTCAGCGAGTATCGCGAACCGGAAAACACCAATACCCAAGCCATCAATAACAGCACCGATAGCAAAAGGCGAGAGTGCAGCTCCAACCTGTCCAAGAGAGGCCACAAAAGACACAGCTGCAACATGTAGCTCAGCTGGTAGCAAACGTGTAAGTACAACAACCCCAGACGGGAACATTGGACCCATGATAAAACCCAACGTCGTCATCAAAGCCACAGATGCAGCCGCAGATGATAGAGCAGCGAAGAGTACGTCGATACCGATAGCGATGAGGAAGTAAATACCAGTCGCACGACGCACTCCCATCCTATCCGTAGCGAAACCGAGAGTCAGTCGTCCAACTGCCATGCCAATCCAGTACCCCGAGGAAGAGAGGCCAGCCACATAAGCGGTCGAGTGGCGACTGCGCAGCATGAATGAGACGATCCAACCCGAAATCGCTGTCTCGATGCCAACGTAGGTGAGGAAGTACGCTGCGCAGAACCAAGTAGCTCGGTATTTGAACACGGCCTTGACGTCGACGTTGGAGTCATGAGACTTGGACTGGTTGCTTTCGCGGTAGACCGATGCGGTCTCGTTGCGGAAAGCAAAGACCAAGACCAGGAATGAGAGAGCGCATGCTCCAGCCTATGTTCATCAGCATAAAACCCCAATATCCAGTATCTGTCAACATACCAAAATAGAATACCAAGTCCACCACATAAACCCTCTAGTAGTCAAAACCGTAACAACGAACGGCCCCAGCGCCCCGCCAACACTATAACTCCCATGCAACAGGCCAGAAACCGTATTCGCCTTCTCCATACTCCCAGCCCACGCACACCAACTTCCATCCAGCAGACCCGTACCCAGTCCTTGGAACGTAAACGCAAGCAACAAAAGACCAAAACTAGGATGCGTCGCCGCAGTCGCCGTAGCCAAGATCTGCAGTAGCGGACCAGCTACTGCAATTCCCCTTTGCCCGAAGCGGTAATGGACGGTATCGCTGCATTGTGCTGCAATGACGTAGCCGATGGGGCTGACGAGGAAGATGGATGAGACTTGCAGGTCTGTGAGGTTGTAGTGGCGTGAGAGGAGTGGCAGGACGGCGCCGATGGAGGAGTTGAAGAGGCCGAGTGTGACGAAGGAGTACATTGCTGCTGCGATTTTGAGAATGAGTCGCGTGTCCATGGTACTGTCGTTTGCATTTTCGGTTTCTTCCGAGTGACCAGTGGGTCTGGTGACGACGATGAGAGGAGAGGTCTCGTTGTCGGTAGGTTGATGGGCCATTTTGTTGCTACGTTGCGCGTTCGGGACGCGCTGTTGCTGTTGGACGGAGGAGAGGAGGTCAGTACAAGCTTATCACGAGTTCATATCTAATGCAACATGTGTGAATGGGAGGAGTCTTCGGGTGAGTGTTAACTCGAGATAGACGGTATGTTGTTTGATAGTTACTTTTGATGGAAAATGCGGTCGTTGTACGGCGCTACAAACAGGTAAGCGCCGCCGAGCGCCAGCCAATGACATCATCAGCAAGTCGCGTCCTGCGATGTTCTTCGTCTACCCGCAGAAGAGCCCGTCCTCGTACGTGTGTCGAAGTAAATATCCCTAGTATGGAGCTCCCTGGTACTAATAGGGCCAAGGCGGCTTGTTGGCTATGTCGGCATCGGCTAGGTACAGGCTTGCCAGATCGCATGTATGTGTACCTGCGCAAGCGCAACTACTATCATATGGGGCCGGCGTTGCAAGTGGCATGTCGACGATCGCGCTTGCTTAAGCTGTATGCGCTGCCTTTGAAAGATGGCTGTCGGGTGCTGAGACGACTCAATCCTCGTCATCCGATGATCCATATCCGAGGCCGAGCGAAAGTGTGTTTCCCGGTTTGGATGTCGATTGCCCTGCTGGTGGCTTGGTTGTGTTTACCAACGTCGTCGCAGGACTCTTCGAGCCGTTGGCACTCGTTGCGGTGGATGACACGTTTGTCTTGACGCTCTCAGACTGCGCAGTCGCTTTTCCTTCGTCCACAGATTTCTTCTCTTCTGGTACGGAACTCGACTTCCTCAGCTTCACACCCTTCAACAGACCACCTTCAGCTCCCTTCTTCCTCTTCCGTCCGACTGCTGCCCATTGCGGAGCATCCTCATCCTTGGGCGCCTCTGAACTCTCTTCTTCGAGACCTTTCGCCTTCCTCTCGGCTTCTTCCCTTTGCCTGCGGAATATATCCAGTTGTTCGAAAGTCTCCCTCTTCACATTGAGCTCCTCCTGGCGCTTCTTTTCCAAGACGGAATCCAGGTAGTCGGCTTCCTCATCATCTAGAGCGACATGCAGCTTGTAACGCGCCTTTTCCTCAAATTCGGCCTGTTTCTTGTCTTTGTTGGCTTGCAGAACTTCGAAAAGGCTCTTTCCATCCTGTTGTTTCGCTAAGTCGGCTTTGGCGCGCCGGGCATCCTCAATCTCTTGCTGGGCCTTTTTCCATTCGTCATCGCGCTCGACTTCTTCACCCGCTTTGCCGCCACTGACGAATCCTGAAGACATTGCGGTCCACACTTATACGGCTAGCGCAGGATGCTGAGGGCGGTGCAGTGGATGCAGGAGTTGAACGGCAGAAAGGCAAAGAAGTAGAAACTGTTCCGGCTTCCTCATAGGCACTAGCGACAGGTGGATCGTTCTCCACACCCCACCAGTTTAACCTCACCCGCGGGCAAATCGCGACGTGATACGTGGAGGTTTTATGCCGGTGCTTAAAGTTGCTCGGTGGAGATAGCGATGCAATGGGTGAATGTTGGCCCTGACGTAGGAGGGGTACACAACGCGTCGGCTGTGCCCCTCGCTCAGCTCACCATTCAAAAGTTTGCGCTTCCTGCCACTTTCCCATCCTCCTACATCCCAAACTTTACCTTTCAATTTATGATTCGTACTCTAGCAAGAATGGCACCCAAGAACTGGACCAAGGAGCACTTCACGCTCAACACTGGCGCAAAGATCCCCGCTGTCGGTCTCGGCACATGGCAATCAAAGCCTGGTGAGGTTCGTGAGGCCGTCAAGGCCGCTCTCGAGGGAGGATACCGCCACATCGACACCGCGCTTGCCTATGGCAACGAGAAGGAGGTTGGCCAGGGTATCAAGGACTCTGGTGTTCCCCGTGAGCAAATCTGGGTTACTACCAAGCTTGACAACCCATGGCACAAGCGCGTCGAAGAGGGCATCAACACCTCTCTGAAGGACCTCGGTCTTGACTACGTTGACCTTTACCTCATGGTATGTTTGTGGAGCTCTAATCTCTCACAAGACGAGATACTTACGAACCTCCCAGCACTGGCCCTCATCGACCGACCCCGATGACCTCAAGAAGCACTACCCCGACTGGGACTTCAAGGACACATGGGCTGAGATGCAGAAGCTCCCCGAGTCTGGCCGCGTGAAGAACATTGGTGTCTCCAACTTTGCCATCCAGAACCTCGAGAAGCTGTTCGCCGACTCGCGCACCAAGATCACACCCGCCGTCAACCAGATCGAGCTCCACCCCAACAACCCTTCGTAAGTCAATTACCAATATCTTACCCATGTGCACGTCAATTAACAGTGACGCCAGACCCAAGCTCCTCGACTACCTCAAGGAGAAGGGCATCCACGCCACCGCCTACTCCTGCCTCGGCTCAACCGACTCTCCCCTGTACAAGAACGAGAAGCTCAAGAAGCTCGCCGACAACAAGGGCAAGTCCGTTCAACAGGTCCTGCTCATGTGGGGTCTCCAGCGCGGCTCCAGCGTCATCCCCAAGTCTGTCACAGCGTCCCGCATCATGGGCAACTTCCAGCTTGATGGCTGGGAGCTGACCGACGAGGAGATGAAGGAGATTAACGCGCTGCCTGAGCGCTTCAAGGTCTGCGGTGACTCTTGGCTGCCGGTCAAGGTCTTCTTTGGCGATGACGAGTAGGTCTTTTGAGAAGACCGATGGCTTTACGTACAATGATACCATGAATGAACAAATCGATGACAACATATGATCTTGAGCTGCCCAGTGCGTGGTGCGTGTGTGATGCTGCGGAGCAAAGTCGGGAATGAGCGTTGTAGCCTGTTCCGGGGTTGCGTGGCGATTCGTCATGTGATCTCGCGTTTTGGCGCTTGCGAGACGCGCCTGATCTAGATTCCCGCTCGCCACTCATCCTTCCCTTCTGCACAGCACATTCACAAATCCCACACAACCACCTTTCCATAAAATCTACCGTCTTTAATCCGTCAAGATGAGCGCCGAAGAAGAGCAATTCGAGGACAGCACCATGGGTGGCCCCGGAGCCCCCACTCCCGTGTCTGCGCTTGAGGTAGGCTTTCACGGTCTTTGGGCGCGCGACAGACACTGACAAGACCTCAGGGAGTCAATGGGTTGACTGCACGCGACATCAAGTTGATTGTCGAGGGCGGCTTCAACACCGTAGAGTCGATTGCCTACACGTATGTAGACTATTGAACAGAAATTGGCCCCGCCACTGACGCCAGGCAGACCACGGCGAGCACTCGAACAAATAAAGGGCATTTCGGAACAGAAGGCTTCGAAATTGCTTGCAGAGGGTATGTGGAAATGATGCGGCTCTATCGCCTGTCGCTTACATTAATAGCATCCAAACTCGTCCCTATGGGCTTCACCACGGCGACCGAGATGCACTCCCGCCGCAGCGAATTGATCTCCATTACGACCGGCTCAAAACAACTGGACACACTTCTGGCAGGAGGTATCGAAACAGGCTCCATAACGGAGATATTCGGAGAGTTCCGAACGGGAAAGAGTCAGATCTGTCATACCCTAGCCGTTACCTGCCAGCTGCCGTTTGACATGGGGGGTGGTGAGGGCAAATGCTTGTACATCGACACTGAGGGTACCTTCCGTCCAGTCCGATGTCTGGCCGTCGCGAATCGATTCGGACTCTCAGGCGAAGAAGTTCTGGATAATGTTGCTTATGCGCGCGCATACAACTCGGATCATCAGTTGGAGCTGCTCAACCAGGCCGCACAGATGATGACGGAAACACGGTTCTCGCTGCTCGTTGTCGATTCCGCCACCGCACTGTACCGTACAGATTTCGCTGGACGTGGAGAGCTCTCTGCCAGACAAACGCATTTGGCCAAGTTTATGCGTACGCTGCAACGGCTTGCGGACGAGTTTGGTATCGCCGTTGTAATCACGAATCAAGTCGTCGCGCAAGTGGACGGTGGACCAAGTGCCATGTTCAATCCCGACCCCAAGAAGCCTATCGGAGGTAACATCATTGCACACGCAAGTACGACTCGTCTCAGTCTGAGAAAGGGCAGGGGAGAGACGCGTGTGTGCAAGATCTACGACAGTCCATGCCTGCCCGAGAGCGATTGCTTGTTTGCCATTAACGAAGACGGTATTGGCGACCCCAAGGAGAAGGACCTGGAGGAGAGGAACAACAGGTGATGAGGGAGATGAGGTGCGAAGCGTCATGGAGCTGTGGCGATCTAGAGCTTTTGGTTTTACACGATTTACGTTTATGCAGCCGTATGATATCCTAATACATTACCTGAATGAATGCGCATTTTGTCCATCAGTACTGTCTGGCCTATCTTGGGATTGAATGGCCATACTAGATGGGGAGTGAGATAAGTGGGCTGCGTTCAGGGTAGGCTGCGGTGATGGACAAAGCGTCCGTGCACCAGCCAGCTTCGCGCATCCATCGTCGCGCAACGATTGTTTTTGTGAGCTTCACCTCCGCGCGACCGCCGCAACTCGACCCCAAACGCGCGCCATAACCTCTCAGCCCCCGCAACGACAGCCGAATCCCCTTCGCATGCGAGCACCATGGTCCAACATGGAGGCACGTGTCTCTACAAAGAGGCGCGCTTGAACATTGAGCCCGCCTACCCTGGCTCGACCATCGCATTTTCGATCCCGTCGCATTCTCCCTTCAGCACACGATCCAGCGTAAAGCGTAGTGTAATTACGGAGTCCTATGCGGAAAAGGACGAGGAAGACTTCACAAGGCGCCATCTCGCTACAGATGGGTCCATGTACTTTCGGCAGCACCATGCCTACCCGCGCAGCTTCCTCTGGCGGGTGCTGGACAACAGGAAGATGCTCGAGATCCAGGCGACCGACTTCGATCACGACTACACCGACAAGTTCGAAGCAAACTTGACGCTCCTCTTCCAATTCCCCGCTCCGATCCGACCCTTCTGCGTCGCTTTCGCTGAACCCGCCGACCGCGATGCATTGACCGTCTTTGCAATCACCACGGGCAACGAGCTCTACACGATCACCCTGCATCGCGACTTCTTCGCCAACCCCGCAGCCTCGGAGCAGGACTCGGAGACGTGGTGCAAGAGGTTCGAGCCGGCGCTCTTCAGCGGGCGCATACCCTACCGATTGGCCGCCGCGAGCGCAGACGAACTGCTAGTCACACTCGACGACGGGGCTATCTGTCGCTTGATCTGGGACAAGGCCAACAACACCTGGGACGGATCGCGGTACCAGCAGAGCAATTGGTCGGTGCGCGGTCTCCTATCGTGGAAAGCGCAGCCCACCGTTCGCTTCGAGAACGCGGACTTTGCTGTGTCCGCTGCGGCTGCCGTCGCGATATCACCAGACAACAAGCACATCCTCTCAGTATGCCTGGACCACTCGATCAGGGCGTGGAACATTGCGTCAGGCAAGCCAGGCGCGCACATCGACCTCTTGGGTGCTGACGACTTCGCCATGGAGAAGTCCCATGGCTCATACTCCATCGGACCTTCGCAGTCGATGCTGATGGCTGTTGTGAACATCCCAGGTGGTGTGGGAGGCGCGTTGTACCACGTCGTTACATACTCGCCTAAGCAGCACCAGTTCAAGTTCTGGGGAGTGAGGGATGCGGACGACCAAGAACACGGATTCTACGACGCTGCGCAGGACTCAGAGCTCATTCCGCCGATCGACGAACTTATGAACACGACTGTATGGACACTGGAGGAGTTTCACATCATTCCAGGGCCTAACACCTGGAGGGGCTCAGAGATCTGGATACGCGCCAGGTCAGGCCCAAGTAGCAAAGTCTACTCCCTCAAATTCGATCTCACCGACTACGCCGAACAACGAACACAAACGTGGAAGAATGATTGGGTGTCCGTTGATTCGGGCCCTCTGACTGTCGAGGCATTGAAGGTCAATCCCGCGAACCCAAGCGAGCGGGAGTTGGAGCCGGAACAGGATCTCTCCAATGAGTGGTACGAGTTTCTGTTCTACCCAGGCCGATTCTCGATCGCGACATTAGAAACAGCGTTGCGCATATACAGGAGAGGCTTGGAGGGGATACGGCACCGGTCAAATCGAGTACACAAAGGGTCACTGAAAGAACGTCTGGTTGCCACGCTTGTCGCCCTTGCCATTGAACGCGGTCACGGCGAAGACTTCAGCAAAGACCTAACAGCGGAGTGGCAGGCATACTACGGCTTAGTGAAAGACTTGCACAAGCGGAGGGGAGAATCGTTGTCGCTCAGTTACGATCGGGCTACTGACAGGCCGTGGCTAGTGTTGAGTGACCACATCTCTGCGATCAGGAACTGCAGCGAGTCGGAAGTCACTACACTGAACGCAGCAGTCATCTCAGGCTCGCGTACCCTGAGCAAACCTCTACGGCAAACTCTGGACACATCGGAATCTCGCGACGTGGCACGTCTGCTGAATGCCGCAGCTTCCTTCCGCCAACGACTACCATACTTTGTTCAGCAAAAGGTCCAACGCCACATGGAAATGGACCTACTTCAGAGCCGGAACATCACGATCTTGGATCGCATGGAATGGATCGAAGGCAACAGCGAGCTTTCTCAACATGTGACCGATGAGGACGTAACCACTCTTGTTGAAGAGCTCGGTATGGAAGTCAAGGACCTGGGTACCGAGACCTTCCTCCGCGCCATCAGGAAGTTGGACTACGAACACGACGGCAGGCCTCAGTCGAGAAAGCAAATCGCACGATACGGGCTGAGTGCGTTGTCATGCGTTTCCAAGGAGACTCTGGAGAACGACCACAATGCTTTGCTTGATCTGCTTGTTCTGCTGCTGTTCATGTTCATTGAGCTAGAGGGCGAGACGCATGAGGAGTGGGACGCGTCTGAGGTGTTTGCCGAGCTTCTACTGCGGTATAAGGACTGCATGGTCGTTTCTTGGTTGGCCCGTACAGTGTGGTCTCACCAGACTGGAACAGGCTTAGCATCCGACAATCTCAACCGCATGTTGAGCGAGACATACAAGACTGGTATGAAGTTACCTATCACCCAGACGGTCCTCGAGGGAATCTACGGAAGTCGTGCCTTTGAGGTGCCACTACCAAAAGACCCAAAGGCGGGTCTACTTACCCATTGGAGTCGCGGCTGGTTGTCATTCATATTCGAAGAACACGACTTTGAAAACGCTGTAGAGGATATGATGGGGATACTCTTGTATCAGCAAGAGTACGAGCTCGCCAAGGACTTTTCCAAGTTCCTTACGGAAGGTCACTGGGCGTCGTATCTGAAGGGACGACTGTACCTGGCACTAGGCAACAAAGAGCTGGCTTCTGTGTGCTTCCAGAAACCTGCATACTATCTGGGTAAGTCTTGGACATACGATTCTGCCATGATGATACTAATTTCTGTAGCTCTCGGTCCCATGTTCGACGTGGCGGAGGAAGACAAAGCAAACCTCATATCCGAAGTGGAGCGAAACTCGTTTTCTGAAGGCCTGGCACACTATTACAGTCATGTTATTGGTCTGTTCGAGAAGGCCAAAGCGTACTCCTACGTTGCAGACTTTGCGAAGCTGGGGCTGCGATCTTTGATGGGTCAGGAAGACGTGGAACTGAAGACGGACCTGCTTCAACGGCTGTTCACCGCCTCGATACAAACATCGAGATTCCAGGATGCATACGGTGCCCTGATCAGGCATCGGGACACGGCCTTGTAAGTTGAATGACCGCTTTCACACAACTTCGTATACTGACTATTTTCCAGGAAACTCTCCGATCTGCAAACACTCATCACATCCATGGTGGCCCAATCGCAGACTACTGAGCTTCTCAAGTTCCCCTTCGTCGGACTAACAGATTCGGTGGACAACATCCTCACGTCCCTCTGCCAGAAAACACTCAACATCGCATCCGGACCACCCTACCACCAGATCCTCTACTCCTTCCGCATCTCCCGCAACAACTTCCGCGGCGCCGCGTCGATCCTCCACGAGCGCCTCCAGCGCCTCAAGACAACATCGACCAAGATCCACGACCCAGCCGACGAGTCCCTAACACAGTGCTACCTCATGATCATCAACACCCTCTCATCAGTCAGCAAAGAAGACGCCTACATCCTAGCCGAGCAGCGCATAGAAGCAACCGGAGGTCCGCCGCAATGGGGCATCGGCCAGGGAAAGAAGCTACTTAGACGGCAGATCATCACCCTGGATACGCTGCGCAAGGAGTACCAGGCGGAGCTGGACAGGATAGCGGCGATTGAGAGTGGCCAGTTTCCTTTTGTGGATCCGGTGGATGATATGGATATCTTGTAGGCCTTGGTTGTTATAGCGCGGCGTTCTTTGGGCGGCTTTGCGGGATTGAGAAATGGAAATGGATGGGGGGTTATGTAGATTTGCTATCTGGCTGGGTCCGTAATTGGATCGTGGAGTGGCTAGACGTTGTTATGAGAATCCAGATCTTGAACAAATGATGGCTATGTTGAGATTGCAGTTGTGATTCGGCAGTGTTTACCCTGTGATTGATGAAGGTGATCAGGTGAGAGTGAGATTGATGCAATGACGCGCTAGAACGCGTGCAGATGCGGGACGGCGCGAACCTCCAGGTAGGTGCGTTGCAGCCCGCTGGAAGACAGCAGCCATCAACAGCCACTTCAGATCCTCACGCCTCCGATCATGGCGCAATAACTTCTCGTCCTTATCCTAATTACCTCACCAACTACAACATATCCTAAACAACCCCCGCAGCCATGGTACCACCCGCTCTCTTACCCTGCGCGTCTCCTCCACTAACCCAAACACTCAGAACTCCAAATCCCTCCGCCGCCTCGCCGCAGACCACGGTTCCCTCCACACCGCCGGCCTACCCCCGAACTACCTCTTCCCACCGGGCTCCGACGACTCGTCAGACCTAACTACGCTTGACGTCCTGCTCGCCGGTCCTGTTGGGACACCCTACGCATCCGGCGTCTGGCGCCTCCACCTCGACATCCCACCCGCATACCCCACCGCACCGCCCACAGCGCAGTTCCGCACGCGGTTGTGGCATCCGAATATTGATGAGGCGACGGGGGCGGTGTGTGTGGAGACGCTGAAGCGGGACTGGAGTAGTAGTCTCAAGTTGAGGGATGTCCTAGTTACGATATCCTGCCTCCTCATACAACCCAACCCCGCCAGTGCGCTGAACGAAGCAGCAGGCAAACTGGCCACGGAGGACTGGGATGGATACTGCAGGCGAGCCAAGCTCATGACAGACATCCACGCCGCGATACCGAGGAATATCGAGGCGGATGTGCGGGAGGCGCAGATGAGAGGGGAGGACAAAACCATAGAACCGGACCAACCCATCGCGAAACCACACTCGAAAGGCAAAGAAACAGAGCGGGTCAAAGTCACGCCTGCGGGACCTAAACTCACGCGCATGAAGAGTGAGGATGAGGAGAATAGCAGGGTCAGGAGGGGTGGGACTCAAGATGCAGAGAGTGGGACTGAGGAAGATGCTGTGAATGGGCAAAGGGATGGGATGAGGAGAAGTAAGGTACCCGAGTCAAGGAGACAGGGTAATATCTTTGGGATCAAGGGCTTGGGCGATGGTATGCAGCTCGACTCCCCACCGCCGAAGAGGATTTTCGCTGTGCCGGGTGCGCATACGCCACCTGTTTCTACTCCGAACGAGAAGGAGAAGGGGAATGCGGATGGGCATGGAGAGGGAGAGGTAGAGGATCCGTTTACGACTGTGACGTCGAAACGGAATACCCACACCGATCCTTCTAGTACGATGGGAGGGACGGTAACAGCAACGACACAACCCGACACCGAAACTCCCGATCTCCTCAAATTCTCAACACAAAACCCCTTCGCCGCCATCCAACCCAACAACCAAAGTCATCCTCTCTTCAGAGAGTTTTCGTTTAGTTGGGAGGATGCTATGGTGGTGCATGACGCTGGGGTTGGTATGGCTGGTTCGGTTGGGAAGAGTGGTTCGGATGGGAAGAGGGGTAAGAGTGGCAGTGGTGGTGGTGGTGGTGGTGGTGTCAGCGGGGTCAGTAAAGCAGATGTACGTAAGAGACACGCGACGGAGGAGTTTGAGAAGAAGGAGAAGTGGGAGATGAAGAGGTTTAAGCGGGCCGGGGGTGATTTGAAGAGGTTCAATCGGGGGGATTGGGGGGTTAGGATGGGAGTTGGAAGACTGTGATTGTGAGGGGAGAGAGGTGTGGGTGAGAGGTGGTTTGCATAGCGATTGGGAGTTTTGGTTCATGATGGATGATGTGAGTTCACGGCGGTTGCGGTTGTTGATAAAGATGGGATGGTAGTACGATGGTAGTGTGGTATACCCTATGAAATAGACTCCTATGGATCAGTGAGGTACCTTTCGCGCTTTCGAGTGCTGAAGTTGCGTGATGATGATCATCATCAACCATCGTTGTGGTACATGGCCAACGCTGACCATTTCTCAGATGTCTCAAACGCGCACAAAGAATATTGAAGGCTTGCCAACACCGAAGTCCAGACATACTTTTCATCCGTGTCTTTTTCGACACATCATGAACCAGGTCTCCATCTTCGGATGCGTCTGCTGTTTTTGTAATTAAGAGAAGAAAAGAAGGAAGAAGAAGACCATGACAGTCGCGATCTCGGGTTTTATATCCCATGATCATCTCCCTTCTCCATTCCTTGTTCATTGATCCTGGTCTTCATCTTTTCGATATCGCCGCACAAGAACCGCGCAGACAATCATTTACAGTCTGCATTGAACTTTCGACCTCATCACTAGGTACTCCTTCTTTTTTTGGAAATCGATGCTCGCATGTCAAGCGTCGCGCGCTGTTTTGTGTTTCGAGAGAAGAGGAGGAGAGGGGAAGACCGAACACATGTAGATGAGCTGATGCATTTTTTGGGAAGGAGCCGCCGTCTCCATCGGAGACCATCGTCTACTTTTTGGAGAAAGAGAAGGAAAGTGGTGGATAAAGAAGAAGGAAGAAGGCGTGTTGGTGGAAGGTTTTATAGTAAAGCGAGGACGAGGGCGCTCACACATATGGCGGAATAATCTGGATTTTTTGGTAGAGCGTAAAGCTTTTGATGATTTTTTGGTATTGTTGGTGTGGCGCGCCGAGGAGGGACTGAACACATGTATTGGTAGATTCGGTTTTTGGAAGAGAGGAGCAGTCTCCATACCGACGACGGCAGGCCTTTTTGGTAAAAGAGGAGCGAGATGGACAATGTAGGAAGAGTAGTTGCGCAACCACAAGGGACTTCTATATGCTGAGGCAGAGGAAGCGGCGTCCACATAGTACATATCCCGTATCATTTCTGGTAGAGGCAAGCTCGTTGCGGTGGCTGGACGAGGAGGACAGAACATGACGTACTCCAGGTATTGTTTTTGAGAAGAAGAGACAATCTCCATCGAAGATAGTCGTCGGTGTTTTAGAAAAAAGTGGAAGACGCAGTGTGTTGAAGGAAGAGTACTCCAGTCGCGAGCAGAAGGTTTTATAGTCGAACCTCGCGAGGTTCGTCCTCATGGATTCGACATGTCGTCTTTTCTTTCGCTCATGATTCCACGGCTACTGCCGTTTTTGGAGAGCACAGAAGCACTCATACGTAGTTTCGAATGTCTTTTTGAGAAGAGGAGGCGCAGTCTCCATTTGCATTCGATATGAGACTTTTGAAAGAAGAGGCGGAGTCCTACTCTCATCGCAGGCCATACTGGAGATTTTAGAAGAAGAGGCACAAACACCATTATGTGATGCAAAGCGAGTTTTGGAAAACCACAATAGAAGTGTGGATGTAGAGAAGAAGAGAGGAGCCGTCGCAGACGGAGACTTTATAGATGGGCGACGCACGGGCGGGGCGCATACATCGTAACTCTGGTTGTCTTTTTTGATGTTGAGATAGCATGTTCGCGGGAGAAAGACACCGTCATGGGAAGGCTTGAAAAGATTTTGAGAACGCGAAGGAAGAAGAGGCGAACACATCGGTGCCTTGGTAGTAGATTTTGAGACGCAGATCCACTGCTCCATGCACATTTCGTCTTTAGCTTTTGAGAAAGACGGATGGATGTTGGATGAAGAAGGAAGAGAGATACAGCAGCCAGAAGACTCGTTTTATAGACGAGTCAAGGAGACACTGCTCATACGTCCTGTATCTGTGGGTATTTTCGTATGCGCATGCTGTTTTTCCGTCGCGCGACCGCGCTTTCATTCCTTAAGCCACCCGTTCTTTTAGGAATAACAGAAGAGAAGAGGCGAACACATGATACTGTCCTCTGAACCGTTGTGAGACAGAAAGAGCTGTTGCTATCAAATGTTTGCGTATAGCTTTGGGAATGGAGAGTAGAATGTTGAATGCCAGGCCGAAGGCCCATTTGCGGAAACATCCATGCATTTCAAGCCGACGGCACGCAAAGATGAAGACTTACGCGTTTCGCCGTGATCACCACATGCTGTGTTCTTTTGTTCATTTTTGAAAAGCTGCGTGGGCTTTACTCGCGCATCTTTCGTAATAAAGCCGTTTTTCGAGCTTCCTGGAGGGTGAAGAGCAGGGGAGGTCATGGATGCTTCCTCTGCCAGTTTTTAGAAGAACGAGCAAACTTCTCCATCAGATTCAGATATAGAAACTTTTGGAAAGTAGAGAAAGAAACGAGGAGTGTTTGGGAATGTGAGACAGCGCAGAGAAGAGTCATTTATACATCGAGCGACTAATTTTATTGCAAGTCGGAGCTAGCGCCGGTCATGAGCTTTGGGATGCAACCTTTGAGCAGTAGGTCGACGCTGAAGGGCGAACTCCCATAGATCAATTTGCTTCAGTTTCGGAAATGCGAAAGAAAGAGCCAACCATGGAATGTCGGAAAGTATCTTTCGTAGAAGAGCAGTCTTCTTCATACACGTTCCAACGAATCTTTTGGATTTGCAGAATGCGGTTTTGTACATGTGGGAGAAGAGCTCGCAATGCGGTAGATTTATATATCAAAGTCGTGCAGGCATGTGGCCTAGGAAGTTTGGAGGGTTGTGAGCGGGGGTAGAGCGCAGAAGGCCGTCTACTTCTTCTCATGTATCGTTCAAAGAACGCTTTTGAGAAGCGGAAAGACGCGAAAACTCATCAGCCAGTACAGCGCAGGTTTTGAAAGAGCCCGCGAAGGCGGAGACTCCCCATGCTTAAGAAACATCCCGGTTTAGGTAATGTTCTTGAGAAAGTTTGTTGATGAGGGAAGTCGCAACGAAGGGCGGATTTTATAGCCGGTTCGCAGGCTCGAGTGCAACAGCGCATGAGGCGAGACGCAATCATGCCGCGCGGTCTCTTTGAATTTGCATATGGGATAGTTGATATGGCGTATGATTATATCGCTCCCATGCGACCGATCAGACTGGCTTTGAAAATGGACTGGAAGGGTAGAACACATCGGTCTCTTGACGGATGATTCCTGTGGAGCACTGGCCACAGGCCATGAACTTGTTTATTGTCATTTTGAAACCTCGACTTGAGATGCTGGTTTTGATATCAGCGAGAAGGTCAGGCCGAAGGTACGCGTTTTGTAGGAGTGATGCGGCTGGTCTGCGCCCACATTAGCGGTGTTGCAGTGACTTTCGACCCAACCCGCGTCATGCGGAACGATTCCGAAGTTGCCCGTGCATTGATGCACGGACATCTTTGTATTGCCCCTTGATTTGTGCTTAGATTGATGCACCTTCCTCTCTCATCGGAAGATATCGCGTCTCATCAACTCAGCACTTGTTCAATTGCATACAAGATCACTTCGAACAGATACAGGTGCCAAGCGGAGATGTCTGACGAGTACCCTGAATTGTCTGATCGGCTCTCGGAACCGTCTAACGACAGTAGTCACGATAAGGATGATTCCTATCACAACGACGTTCAAGAACGCCGATACTGGGAATCATGGCTACTTGAAGAGTTTTATTCGCCGCCACAAAGGCTTTTCTTCCGTATGCAGAACGGCACGTACTAAGAACTGACTTCCTGGTAGAGAAGAGCTAATCCGACTTGCCTGGCGCGAACGAGCGCAATGCCGCAAACCTGACAAGACTGTATTTGACAATTTTTTCTTCGATACTCTCAACCTCGTATTTACGCTCTCTCTTCGGGTAGCACACCCCATGATGGTCCCCCTAAGCGCTTCATCATTTGTATGCGCTCCATCATCTCCCTAGGATACATCTCCAGGGGCGGATAATTAGCTCCATGTTTGGGTTGCTTTCCTCCATATTCATCGTCGCTGTCTCCATCTTCGTCCTCGCTTTCTCTTTCTTCATACGCATCGTCGTAGTAACCATCGTCTTCTGGAGGAGACATGAATTTCTGGAAGTCTTTATAGCCCCACCTGCGCCTAAATTGAGGTAGATTGTTGGCAAATTCTTCTTTGTAACTGAGCGGACCGTCTGCTAGCATGCTTTGTTCGATGAAGTTTCGGTAAGGTCGATAGTATCCCGATTGCAGTGTATGCTCTTCCTTCTCCTTTCGTCATGGTTAGCATGGTCTCACATGAGATATGTGCAGACTGACCTTTTGCCAATCCTCTTCGGTGAGGTAAAATAGTCCTTGCATCTTCCGATCATCCTCACTCGACATCGTCTGGCACATAATTGTGATAGAAGAGCCAGCGTATTTCAGATCGTAAAGAGGTTTTCTCATTGCCTCCAACACGTTAAGAACGCTACGCTCCACATTCAGGAACCCGATACGCTGCGAAATCTCCATCTCGTCCAGCCCAGAGTCTTTCCACTCCGTTCTTGCTTCCCCATACCATCGAGGTTCGTCGGGCGAGATCTGAACTCGAACGTCAAGCTTAGCTTTATGTTCCACGAGCGAAAGCGCAGACTCTAGGTCACTGTGTAAATTACCGAGATTCGATAGTTCTCTCCACAAGAGTTCCTCGGATCCAATTGGCATTCTCGGGCAGATATCAGTGACTACGATCCTGATGTATATCTGCCGGATAAACTTGTACGGCAGTACACCCAGGTTGAAACAGTCCTCTGCCAGTAGCGGCATCAACTGCGGTAAGCCCGGACGTTTTGAAGCCCAATCTGGCGAGATGGCTTGAGTGCCCACCTCGAAAACGTTGGTAGCATAGTAGCATTCCGCCGCTTCGCGTGCAACCTCGTAGCCCACGTAAGATGGGCAAAATACCTTGTAGTCTGATGTGACAAATTCTTCATCAGATGCCGTACTAAGACCACCCAGACCGGATCCAAAATACATTGTCTCGCAGTCAGCAACAATGTACCGGTATACTTCATCTCGTACCTCTCGGGGCACTTTAGCGTATAGTTTGGACGCAATCTGACGGACTTGCTCGCGATCGCGCTTCGCTCTGAAGATTTGTTGTTCCCTGTGACGGTGTCAATTGGGGTGGGCGCCATTTCGTATGCAGGTGGCTGTACTTAGAGGGCTCTTTGAGGTTCAATCGCTTGTGGAGCATGCGCACTGGACGCCATTTCCATCGCTTGTGTAATGGGTTTAACCCATCTGGGTCTCCCTCTGAACGTTCTTCTGAGAACTCCAGCTCCGAATCCCAACCTGAAGAAAACTCTGAAAGGTCTTCTGAGTACTCCGCCTCCAGCTGTGAATCTAGCTCTGAATGTTCCTCTGGGTACTCTGCCTCCCACTCGGGATCCCACTGGGAGGAATATCGATCCATAATCCGAGCACTGTTGAACTTCCGCTGGATCGACGCGATGCAAAAACTTCCAAACTACCCGGGCGAGCTGTATACTGGAGTTGTTGGGCTTGTCAATAGTTGCTTGTACCTTCGAGGATGAAGAGCGAAGCATTGATGGCACCGAGTAGCGTGACGTACCTAGGTATCTAGCAACCTTGGTTTTCTCTGTCCAATCATCGTTTGACGCGTCAATGCGTTTACCCCCTGTCTCTACACAGACCACCTGCCACACACCGCCCGTTCATCTCGAACGCTCAGCGTGAAGGGCTTGCCGACCTTGCTGTCACAACAAAGAAAAGCAAAAAACACGACTCTAATCGCAGCACCTTATACAAGGAAAAGATCATAAAGGTTTGCAGCCTATAACAAAATACAAACACGCGAAGTAGAAAATCTGACGTCAAAGTAGGCTATAAGGTGGATGACCATTCTCTATCTTGAATAACGTGGCAGCGATGCCTCCCAAGGTCGATCAACCCAATCGTGCACCGCGGAGAAAAAAGGCCGCTAAACCCCCAAAGTATTGCCACCTACATGCAAACGAAGTCACCTGGAAGTTGACGCTATCGCAGGAGGATTCCCAAGAAAGCTTGGCTTGCAGAAGTCAAACGTGACAAGCAAGCTTGCCTTCGTCTAGCGGCAGCTTTTCGCACCAAGCTTCCCTGGGTTTTACGGTGCAAGGTATACCACATTCTTCTCGAAGAGGCACGCCACAATCAAGTCGACCTAGGAGCCCCTAAAACCGGTAAAAATGCCTACGTCCCACCACTCCTGCGGATATGTAGCCCTGCGTACGTGGGTGACAAAGTTGCGTGGGAAGCGGCGATCATTTTCAACAGACAGACGCATCTCGTGTGTCGCGACGTGGATCAACTCGTTCCAGCACTCATGGACAACAAATTCCACGAAAGCGTCTTCCCATACCAGTGGGTGAAAATGGTGCATATCACCTTCGATCTTGAGGCGCTTACTGTTCCGATATTGTACGAAGTTGACTATGGTTATGACGACGACGCTGACACGGAACGGGAAGAGCTGCTCCTGCAAGAACAGAGAAATTTCAAGGATCTTTTCAAGAAGCTCGAATCGGGCTTCTCACTTTTGATGAAACGACATCCTGATGCACCTCTTTCTAGCTTGACCGTCCACCTCATGTTAAAGTTGGGAGATTATCCGTACGTGGATTCACCGGATGTGCAATCGCGCATGGAAATACTAAACTGCGAGCGTGGCTTTCTGAACCTTCTTCTATTCATCGAAATACCTGTATATGATTTGATACACGCTGGCGCGCGGGTAATAATCACGTGGGACGAGGGGAAGGAAGCCATTTGTAACGGGCAGGATGGTCCTCTCCAGAAGCCTATACCCGGACTTTTTCACCTGAGTAAGAAGGCTTGGAAGAAGGTATGTACTGAACCTTCTCTCAAGATCATTACACAAAAGACAATCGAAAAGCATCGCACTAATTTTCTGGACTAGGAGAAAGCCAGATACACACGTTGGGGTGATGAATATGTCCTATGCCCTTACGGCCAGAAGTATATACAAAAGTTATGGGACGGGGGCGGATACAGCAAATTATTTGCCAAGAACCTTCCTAGCTCCAGAGAGTCGTGGGGGTACACTTCATTTAGGAAGCTGGTAAACATCGGGCGGCGTCGGGAGTTGGATGATGACGAAAACGAGGATGGGTTTTCGTCGGGGCCGAGCACCTATGCTGGGAGTGAGTGGGATGACGATGTCGAAGAGATTGAGGAATATGAGGACGATGAGGATGATGAACCAGTTCCTAATCCATACTGCGACAGACACTACTCTAGCGACGACTCAGGTCCACAAGGAGACTACGAAGCCACTTATGACGACATGGAGCAATGGGGCTTTTAGTCATGAGAGGCCAGGAGACAGAAACACGTTACTTACTCGTCTGCTCGTAGCCCTGAAACGCGTGCCTCAATTTGTAGGATCATGTAGATGATTAACAATGTTTGCCTGCGTCTCTGGTGGAATGTTTGACGCGTCAACGCACGGACCATGAGCACGGGCCACACACCGCTCTCCTGTTAATCTTGAGATCTATCGACAAGCGCTAACGGACCTGTTCTCAAGTAGCAAAAAGCAAAAGATAGCGCAGCGATGCCTCCGAAGGGCAATCGTCTCGATGGTGCACGTCGGGGCGACGGGGCCACGAAACCACATAGGTATTCTGACCCCTGCATCGTCGTCGCCGCCTTCCGGAATATTCACGTCTGTGCAGAAAGAAACACTACAAAAAGCGGCAGACCAAAGCCCAAGTCGAGCGACAGGCTTGCCATCGCCTAGCCACCGAAATGTATGCCAAGTTGCCGCGCGAACTACGGGATATTATTTACGAATACGCCATCAAAGAGCGCATATTGCACCGCGTGCCCGACTTCCCACAACGCAAAAATGCCGAGGTGCCATCGATACAGCGCATATACAGCCAACATTACGTTGGCGTGGAAGTCGCACGCGAGGCAGCAGAGTACTACTACTCCCAACAGCACATCATCGCAAAATTCCAAACTCTAAGAGAAACCCTCACTCGAGACATCTTCCACCTGGGCGTTAAACCCTACATGCACATCCGAACACTACATGTTCGAATCAACAATGACAAGATCAGCGGCTGTCTTGTGAAAGAGGCAGGGGCAGACGCCAACGGCCGACTGATTGAGAATGTATACGTGGAAAACTGTATAGCGCAGGAGAAAGGAAACCTAAATGATCTGTACCAGAAGCTTGAAGCTGGCTTTGCTCTCTTCAAAGGAAAGAGAGAGCCTTCGTTGCTGAAGCTCCGCATCATCATCAAGATGTCTGGGTACTCCAACGCTTACTATGAGCACACCCAAGAAGGCGTTACCGCCATGCGGGATTACGAACGCAGGTTCATAAATATGTTGGAAACAATACGCAAACCGGTGTATGACATGATACACGCTGGGTGTAATGTCGAAGTCAAATTTGAAAAAGAAGTGATTAGCGCCGTGGACCGCTATTGGGGCGATGGCACAGACAGTGGCATCGGAAGTGATTCGGATGAAGATACCGATGTCTATATGCGTCTGGATCTGACACCGGCATTATTCCATCTCAGCAAAGAAGACTGGGAAAAGGTTTGTACGCTCTCCTAGACATACCCCACCACTCTCTCCTCGCCTCTTCCAAACAACCCCTCCAACAACTTTCAGCGAAAGCCACACTAACACCCACCCCCTCTCAGGAAAAAGCCACAAACGTCTACATCCACGGCCGCTACAACCCAAAATCACACTACAAATCCCACATCCTACTCCGCTACACCCGCATCAACAAGCACTACCAAATGGACTTCGCCCGCAACCTGGCCGAGTACAGAGCGAGATGGGGTTATACATCATTCGAGAAGCTGTTGCATGTTGGAAAATACATCTATGGGCCGGAAGACGGCAGTGACGGTAAGAGCGAGGACTCGGGCGGCTATTCGATGCCGTGGCATAGGAACAGCAGTGCGTATAGTGACAGTGAACGCCCGGATGGTTGGACCCATTGGTCTGAGGAGGACGAGGATTATGAGGATGGAGATGTGGGTCGTCATAGCGACGACAGTTTGGACGAATGGGCAATGGCCCAGATTGCCTAGCTGTGATGGGAGGTAAGCAGTACGAAAGATTGGGGAGGAGAAAGGACCGAGGAACATAGCGACGACACACAAAGTACACCTTGCCACCAATCGATTAAACGGACCAAATCCAAGCCCGTTGAGGGACTACCTAGGGATCAAACACGCTCAAATCTATGAAATCCAACGCTAGCCACCCATTGTTGAAAGTGCGTCCCCGCAGCTCACACTACTCCATTCGCGGCAGTCTTGCTCTCAGCGCCATTCTGCAAGACCTCATTCGCCTGCTTGATCGTAGGCACCGATTCGGACGGAACGACGAGCGACGCGCCGTTGACAACGCCGTTAGTGGAGTCTTGGTGCGGTGCTTGGAGTCCTTGGCGGACCTTCAGCACGCTGTCTACGATGACGGCGTCGATGCCTTCGTTTCGTTGGAGCTGTGTTGTTGTTAGCAAATGTTGCCTAAAGTGAAAGCCTATGAGGGAGTGACTTACGAGGACGTTCTTAGGATCGTTGTTCAGTATGCCGTACGAGACGCACACCAAACCACTTTCCTTCACCACCTTGACGAGTCGCGGGCACATGACCAAGGGCTCAGCAGCGGTAACGACTCCCAGCAGATTCCAACGGCTAGCAAAGCGGATGCCTTCTTGTAGACTGGCTGCTCGCACATCGCCCACGGGCAAAGTTCCCGCGTCGGTGAGGAACAGTACGGGAATTGAGGGCTGCTTGAAGGACAGCATCAGGCAGACGTCGGGGTTAAAAGATGAAAAGATAATGTTCCGTTGGCCCATCCTGTCGTACACCTTCTGCAGCACTGTATCGACGAACTGGTTCAGTTCAACGGCGTACTGGTCCATCTCCTCATCCTCGGTCTCGTAAAGCATAGGGTACTTGAATTCGACGTTGAACCCAACGGATTCAGGCAGCTCATCGAACATACGGTCGAGAGTCGTGAATGAGGACTGGATGGATGTGCCACGGTTGTTGCCCTTGAAGCCCTTCTTCATAAAGTCGCGGGTGTACTTCATTCGCTCCGCGAGCTCGTTCTGACGATCAGTGTGAATGTTGCGCTGTTTCGAGTTATCGACTGAGTACGATCGGGGTCTCCGGGTATTGGGCTTGTCATCTGAGCCATTCGCACCGTTCAGAACGGGCACAGTCTCTGGTGACCCAGCGCGAGACGACCGTGGCTTCTGGCCCTCACCGATGTGCAGGAATTGGTCCAGTGTAAGCGTGTGTACGGGTGCATCAATACCAGTTTCGCTAACCAAGAAGTCGTGATAGATGACGGGCACATGGTCTTTGGTTAGCTGAACGTCGAACTCCACGTACTCGGCACCCAAGTTGGCAGCGGAAATGAAGGATTGAATCGTGTTCTCGCCAAGTTGTAGCGACGTGCGTGAGGCGGTGTTCTTTCCTAGACCGCGGTGGCCGATGACCATGGTCGATGCAGCCATTTTCTTCCAGTAGGTATGCTGTTCTGTGATCGACATGCTCGGGTGATGGAAGGGCGTAATGATCAAGAAGTTGAAGTTAACTGTGCCAATTACGTCCAGTGTCGAAGCAGCCACGATTGGTACCTTCATGTCTCCCTGGAGCGAGATGCGCTTAGATCCAATACTGGTCTTGATGGTCGACAGCAATGCCACAGCTCGTCCCACTACACGCTCTTGAGAACCCGCATATGTTGGGATAATGTCGAAAAGTAGCTTGACTTTAGTGGCATCGCTGGTCATGAAGGTGATTGGCTCGGTCGCAATGTTTTCCTGGATGGGCAAGTCAATGACCGAGGGTTCTCCGTTTGCGCCAGACGCATTAACAACCACAGACAGAGCGGTATCGAGTTGCGTCGCGTGTGCATCGGCAAGAGGGATATCGTCCAATTTCACGGCGGGCACATCTTTCCTGGCGTCCATTGAACCAAGGCTGACAAGAATCATTGTCTCTTTGGTCAAGTAACGATGGCCAAAGGTCTTCACGGGCTCGGGCGCCTTTTGAACAGGCGTATTGGTGTCTCGGTTTAGATTCTTAGACCTTCGCTCGTCAAGGGAGGATTGTGTAGGCGAGCCAGCTCGAGCAATACGCGTATCCTTAGGCGCGACAAGAGGCGGCTCTGTCGCAGGAGCAAATTCCCCTAGTCTGATCGCTACCGCAATGTGACCACGAAGCGTGGCGTGCTCCTTTGCTGTCCAGCCAGAGTTGTCGCACCTCTGGAGATCAGCTCCGGCCGCAGCAAGAATCTCCACCATGGAGAGATGGTCGTCGACAGCAGCAATAAACAGTGGCGTCCAAGCGAATGTCTTCTCGGCGACATCGACCTCCGCCTTATTCACACTGGATCCTCCCAAAAGAACCTTGGCGCACTCGTCGTAACCGTAGCGTGCCGCCATGTGTAATGCGGTCTCTCCGCCCTCATCCCGGTAGTTCACGTCCACACCCGCTTCGACCAAGAGCTTGACGATGTCTACGAAGTTGGACCGGGTTGCTAGGGTCAAGGCTGCTCCCGATCTCGCGATGTTTTTACGAGATGTAAGGCGTTCTTCTGTGGTACCGCGCCAGTTTTCCGCATCGAGGAGGGCTTTCGTGGTGAGCGGATGTCCGCCCATTACGCTGAGATGCAAAGGAGCGTTACCCTCAGCATCCTGCCAGTAAGCGGAGTCGATTCCCTGAGCGACGTCGAATTGGCCCCAGTCTTGCATGTGCTTCATAACGACCTGGCAAATGACGACAAATCCATATTGCGCAGCATAATGGAGCGGGAATCTGCCATAGGAGTCGCGAGATTGGAGCGCGTTGCGTTGCTCAGCCTGGAGCTGATCGAGGAGGTAGACGAGTAACCGTACCGACTCATCGTTCTCGCTGAGTAATTGCGTTGACTCTTCTTCGGTGGTGGTGCAAGGGCGAGGTTGGCGATTGGGATCCGTCGCAGGCACAATGAAGTTGCGTGTCTCGCTAGAGCTCTGGAGAAGGGTTCCATCAGCACCAAACGTGTCGCCAGTCTTCGATCGACCGATATTGATGACAAGTCGGTGGATGCAATTGCGCTTGTTGATGTCGTCTTCCTCATCTAGTGAGATAATGTCCTTGAGTAATCTCTCGATACATGACTTTGCCCGGCATGAGATGGCGCGTTGCAAGAAATTCAGGAGTACTTGCTGGAACGAAGCACTCGAAATGCCATTGCTCGCAGCAGCTTCTGTGAGTTTCTGGTTGAGATCTTCGACCTTGTCGCCCCGAATAGCCGTATCCACAGCGTCGAGCAGGCCCGCGGGAAGGTGTAACGAGCGACCTGGAACTCTGCCCAGAGAGGCCGCCGAATGGGAGGAGCCCGTGTCATCGAACGTCTTGATGTCGCTCAACCCTGATAGCCACTCGTTGACTGCCTTCATATCCTGATTCAAAGGCAGGTTATGCGCAAAAGGCTTAGGGTTGACTTTCGACGCCAAGTAGCGCTCCTGCAGACAAACTGTCTCAATCTTCTTGTCCAGCTTCTTTGTGATCTTGATGAAGCCTCTACGATTCACCTCTCCGTACCATTGAAGCTTCCGCATCGAACCGCGCAGCTCGAGCAGCGCACCCATGAGATCCTGCGCTTCATCCTTGTCGATGCCGTCGGGCAATTGTGCGACTCGTCCGTAGCGGCCATGTAGAAGCCTCAATCGTCGTGCGTTTTCGGCGTATTTGCGGTTGTAGAAGTTGTCAACGTCTTCGAGGTTGCGATCAAGCGAGAAGAAGAACTCTGGGGTGAATATTAGCCACGTGTTCTGCGACTTGAAGCTCAATGGTCGCGGTAAACATGACGCGCTCGTGACGACTCCAAGACATCCACAATAGCTTGGTGAAGCATAGCCATGGAGTATTTGGTATGAGTCTTGGCAGAGTTGAAGTCTACTCACCAGCAAGATCTGGAGCCGAGCCATCTTTCGAAGCTTCAGCAGCGTTCTTGATGAGCTTCTTGAGGCCCTTGTAGTTGATATAAGACGCCGCCCATTCCGGGACCTGGTTCCTCGGTAGGTTGTGTCCGAACTTCATCCTGAGGGTGAAGCAACAATCGGTGGACAACTGGATCCGGGAGAGCTTGATATTGAGCTTGAGGGTAGCTCTAAATCGTATGTAGAACTAGCTCTAGGCAGCGGGGGCGGAAAAAGGAACGAGATATAGGCAGTGGTAGGTATTGAATGATCGACAGGGCAAGAGCCAGAGTGCCAATTCCATGCGACCTGCGCAATCAACGCGTTAATGTTGAATCTTTAGGGTGTGCTCGAGGCGTCCATTCTCATTGGAGGAGACGGAGCTCGACAAAAGCGCGCCTGCAACATGGTTAAACGGACTGTCAAAAGTAGGGAAAGCCGTAGCTCGAGGCAGGGGAAGTACACTGGAGCGGCGGAATCGCTGGTCAGTGTTATCGGTGCGGAGCTGGACGGGTGAGTGAAAGACGTTGAGATGAAAAGAGACGTGGTTGGTGCGTCGCAGTGATCCCCAATGACGTATGGCGACGGAGCGCTTTGTTCAGTCACTCCCGCCAGCGCGCGCAGAATCTCGTCTGCCTTTATACTCGCCGTCGCTGCAAAGCTTTGAATGTCTCGGTTCAACGGTGGATCCCTGCCCCAATTATCACATCCTAATGCGTCACGCTTCAGCGCCTCTCGCATCGGCGGGTCACGGCGGTGTACCATGTATGTTTGTCAGCTTGGCTCGCGACGGACATTGCACGCGAAAAAGCTTCTTCTTGGCACTGCATAGAGCAACTTGTGCGAGTGTAAAGCGCGACACAACTAGGCATGGTGCTGGCAGCGATCGTGAAGACTCTGGCGCGGGTGCACCGCGGGGCCAACACGGGTAAGCATACACGCGACTACCTTCCGTGGCGGGACGCATGTCATTAGCAGTGCATGGGAGTGCATATGGGGGCACGGTAGCTGATCCGGGTCACACCGCATCGAAGACTGATTAATGTGGATGGTGGGGTTGCATTGATACTGGCTATGTGCTCTCCGCGCCATTATACCTCAGTGACT